CACACACACCTTTCACAGCCCCTGAAACACCCAGTGCCGAGCTCCTGGAAAACTCTTCCCACTGCAGCATACATCACTACATGGGGTTTCTTCCCACTGGAGTCTACAATGAGGAAATGAAAGACGTCGTCACCCGATGTTATTGATCCACAAATCTGTTGCAGTTAAAGCTCCACAGTTTTTATCAGCCAATTCCACCATGCACAACGTCTGTTTTATCTCCATGAGTTTTTGGTTGTTTGCCTCTCGTTATTAATGTCTGCTTCCTGGTAGAACCATCAGATTTTTTTCTTTTTTGAAGTGAGTGTTTGAAGCAAAATGCAGAGTTTGAGCACTTTCAGCACAAACAAACACTCCCACGAGCTTCTGACCAACCACACAATAAATTATTGAGTTCTTGTGTGGAGGGGGGTAAAACGTTCTGCCAGTGGGTTGCGATAAGAAGGTGCCAAGTTATCGACAATGCAAACCAAATGACGCAACTTTCCTCATGAAACTGTGACAGTTCCATCCCCTCCAAAGATTTTCTATTGGATTCAGGTCTGGAGACTGGCTAGGCCACTTCAGGACCTTAAGATGTTTCCTACGGAGCCACTCTTTAGTTGCCCTGGCTGTATGTTTTGGGTCGTTATCATGCTGGAAGACCCAGCCACGACCCATCTTCAGTGCTCTTACTGAGGGAAGGAGGTTGTTGGCCAAAATCTCACGATACATGGCCCCATCCATCCTTCCCACAATATGGTGCAGTCGTCCTGTCCCCTTTGCAGAAAAGCATCCCCAAAGAATGATGTTTCCACCGCCATGCTTCACAGTTGGGATGGTGTTCTTGGGGTTGTACTCATCATTCTTCTTCCTCCAAACATGACGAGTGGAGTTTAAACCAAAAAGTTCTATTTTTGTCTCATCAGACCACATAACCTTCTCCCATTCCTCCTCTGGATCATTCAGATGGTCATTTGCAAACATCAGACGGGCTTTGACATGCGTTGGCTTGAGGAAGGGCACCTTGCGTGCACTGCAGGATTTTAATCCTTGACGGCGTAGAGTGTTACTGATTGTTTTCTTTGAGACTGTGGTCCCAGCTCTATTCAGGTCATTGACCAGGTCCTGCCGTGTAGTTCTGGGCTCATTCCTCACCTTCCTCAAGATCAATGATGCTCCACGAGGTGAGATCTTGCATGGCACCCCAGACCGAGGGAGATTTTCCGTTATTTTGTATTTCTTCCATTTTCTAATAATTGCACCAACTGTTGTTGCCTTCTCACCAAGCTGCTTGCCTATTGTCCTGTAGCCCATCCCAGCCTTGTGCAGGTCTACAATTTTATCCCTGATGTCCTTACACAGCTCTCTGGTCTTGGGCATTGTGGAGATGCTGGTGTCTGATTGATTGAGTGTGTGGACAGGTGTCTTTTATACAGGTAACGAGTTCAAACAGGTGCAGTTAGTTAATACAGGTAATGAGTGGAGAACAGGAGGGCTTCTTAAAGAAGAACTAACATGTCTGTGAGAGCCAAAATTCTTACTGGTTGATAGATGATCAAATACTTATTTCACACAATAAAATGGAAATTATTTAAAAATCATACATTGTATTTTTCTGGATTTTTGTTTTAGATTCCATCACTCACAGTTGAAGAGTACCTATGATAAAATTACAGTCATCTACAAGCTTTGCAAGTGGGAAAACCTGAAAAATCAACAGTGTATCAAATACTTGTCCTCCCCACTGTATGTCTGTGTGTATATACTGACAATATTTATGAATGTAGGCATGTATGTATGTATATTTTTATATATGTACGGGTATGTGTATATATTTATATATGCCCTCCATGTATTWATCCATTTATTTTTCAGGTGAGCAGACAGATGTTGGGTGTGTGGTCCTGTGTTTTGTTGGTGTATATTTAATACACTTCTAATCACTATTTCAATCTTTCTAGCTTTCTAATTACTTCTCACTCTGTTTTTCTTTCCGTCTCTATTTTCTCTTCACTTAAAAAAAGTCATTGATGATGAAGAAATAAATAAACTAAATAAACTAATATTTGGTTTTGTTTTCTACTGAAGTGACACAATAAAAAAAAAGAAAAAATGCAGAGTTTGAGCACTTTCAGCACAAACAAACATTCCCACGAGCTTCTGACCAACCACAGAATAAATTATTATGAGTTCTTATGTGGAGGGGGTAAAACGTTCTGCCAATGGGTTGCGATAAGAAGGTGCTGAATTATCGACAATGCGAACCAAATGACGCAACTTTCCTCATGAAACTGTGACAGATCCGATTTCGGCAGTTTGGCTGCAGCATGCTGCGTGATTAATCGACTCCATCGTATCGTCACCTTCCTAAAATAGTCCAAGTCATTTTTAATGGAAATTTTCAGGTAACAAAAAACTTAACCAAAAGTAAACTATATGACATGTTTTGAGATTCCTGACAAACTTGGAAAAAAAAATGACTTGGGTCATTATTTTATGAAGGTGTCAATTTGATACATAAGTTGATAATTAAGTTACCTTCATTAAGCTGAGAAACCAGTAATTATTCTACAGCAGGTGTCAAAAGTATTCACATTCATTACTTAAGTAGAAGTATAGATACTAGGATTTAAAAATACTTTTTTGGAAGTAGACGTTATCAACTCAAAGCTTTTTACACAAGTGAAAGTATAAAAGTTAAAGTAATGAACACTTTAAAAAAGCCATTGAGGATACACAGGATTTTATAGCGTACCCCCC